GTATTTGCCTTTGTGTTGTGTAGAAGTTATATGTAAAAAAGCACCAAATGTTTTAATTAATAAAGCAATGCATGTTTTTGATAACCATAAATGTAGTAGAAATTTTTTTTTATATTTTAAATTGAGTGTCAAGAATTATTTATTTTTAAAACAAAAATTTATAATACAGAATATAAATTGGAATTTATTTTGATTGCATATTATGTAAACAATTCAATAAAAATACTTAAATCTACACTTGGCAATCGCTTATTTACCCACTTTTTAATATTAAAAAGCTGTTCTCTCAAAGAAAATAATACTTGAAAGAAAATCTATTAATGTATCAAATTTGCAAAAAAAACCTGTTTAAATGACAATTAAAATTACCGGCACCTGTAGTGCCGGTACTTCTTAAATAAATATTACAGCAAAAATCACGGCATGATATTTATCGGTAAAAATGGAATTTACGAATAATTCACTTAAAGTGCCGGTACTTAATACCGAAATTTGATCCGGAATTTTTCACAGTTTATTCCTTATTTACAATTACGTAAATATCTTTTAAAAAAAAGTTTATCTCAGAAAATTGCACTTTTATTAGGATGCCTCTTTGCAACCTTGATTTTCGGAATAATACTTATTAGAACTTATTAAACAAAGCCAGAATTCGGCACTTTTGATTAAACTACTTCTGCCATTTTTTTATAACCATCTTTAAACAGCCAACCTAAATTTGAGTTTAAGGCTACCACTGTTCAACTCCATAGCCTTTTAATTTTGAACCTTATCCAGAAGACATAGGAATTCCTGAATCAAGTATTTTGAGAAATTTTCCCTTCGCGGAGGACTTGAGAACTTCATACTGAGCATAAGTATCATTTTAATTTAAATTTTTTATTTTTTATATCCGTCGTTGAACAGCAGACCCAATTTTACTAATGTTCAACTCCGTAGCCTTGTGATTTTGAACCAATCCAGAAGACAAGGAAACTCCTGGATCAGTATCCCCAGAGGTATTGATTTGTTATGGGAACATGGAGGACTTTTCGACTCGATAGATTTACGTGCATCAGTCACCATTTGCTATTCGGCCGGCTGGGATCGAACCCACGAACGCTTGGACATGGGCCCAGCGCCCTTCCAACCAGGCTATCCCGGACCTAAATCACATGAACCTAATTGCAGACAGAAACATTAATGTTTCAAGATATATGGAAGACAGTGTTGACTGTTTCTTTTTCCGCGCCAATGTTTAGAAAAATTTAATTCGATTTTTTTTACAGCCGATTTTACTCTGCAGTTTCCAATTGTGTGAAGTTTTTGGTTTGTTCAACATCTCATGAAAAATTTAATTTATTATTTTAAATAGTTAGAAACATGATTAGTACCAGGTTTAAAATTTTCTAATTCTTTTTTGTTTAAGGGTGTCGTCGAATTAAATTGGGTCCTTGTCAATAGTTTAATATCGGGTAGTATAAGAGTAGTATAACCCCGCAGTCTAAGCAGAGTCAAAATGCTTGGGAATTTGGATGCTGTGTCTCAGATGTAAAGGATTGGCACATAAAACCTGCAGCAATCCAGAGTAGTGTGATACATAATTTTTATTCCTAATTTCATAGTTAAATCTCAACAACTAGTTTATTAAAAGTTATAACTAGCAGAATACCCGTTGTTCATATGGGTAGAAAAAATAAGCATCAGGACAACACTACAAATTCGATTAAAATACTTTTAAATAGACTTGGAAACAAATAAAGCTATAATAATCTCAATGCTTTTTTATTGTTTATTATTATTTGTTGCCTTTTACGGTGGATTTACATTATTAGATATAGCAGAACACGTAATTATATAAGCAAAACACGTAACAAAAGACGTTCATCTCATCATCAAAATAAAGATTAACAGTCGTATCATCTGACATGAAGTGCTTATATCTTCAGGTAGCCGTAAAAATCTATCATAAAACTTTAAAGTATTGGTGCAGCTGTAGTTGGCATGAAATTTACTCTGACAAATTATGTACTTGTATGAGAGTATACTTGGTATCTATTAAAACTGTACCAATTACAATGATGCCAATAGCGCAAATCACCAAAATTAAGAATCATTGGTGTCAATAATAACTTGATGACTTTTAACGGCTCTGTACAATGAATTTGTGCATTTTCCCATTAGTTTTGCTTTTCAGAGCATAGCCATTTTTTTATTTCAATTAGAACTTATTACCAGAATTAATTTAGAATCATTATTGGTAATAATAGTTTGCTGATATTTTAAGATATATTAAACGAATTAGTAACATTTCTCCTTCAATTTTACCCTTTAGTTCATAGCTTATTAATTTACTTCAATTAATAACTAATACCAAATTTGTCATTGGCATCAATAATAATATTAATGTTTTAAATGTTTGTCCTCAAAGAATTAGTAACATTTATCCATGAATTTTGTCTTTTAGTACATAGCTTATTATTTTACCTTAGTAATTTAGTTACTTTACAATTAGTAATTTATCAAAATTATCAATTACGTCAACAATAATATTGGTGTTTTTTGCGTGCTTATGTTCAACGGATTAGTTCAACGGATCATTTTACTTTTTAGTACTAAACTTTTTTTTTAATTTAACATACCGTTGATTTCAAATTATTAAGTTTTATAAAAACGCGTTTTAAAATCATATGATCAAAATAAACACGTGGTTTCAACCTACCTTAAGAATAATAATTTGGTGACATAGTCTGCTTATGCTACCACGATCACGTTGATAATTCCAGTAACCTTTCATAACAAAGAAAATATAATTAAGTGTAGCAGAACTAAAATAAACAAACTTTTTTGATTAAAGATATAAGTTAGAAAACATTGCTGCGTTACCTTTAAAATATTCGAAAAAACACGTGGATTAACAAGTGGTTTCAAACAACCTTAAGAATAATAATTTGGTGACATAGTCTGCTTATGCTACCAGGATCACGTTGATAATTCCAATAACCTGGCAGAGCAATTAAAATATAATTAAGTATAACAAAACGAAAATTAGCAACCTTTTTTTATTAAAAATAAAAGCTAGGAAGCATTAGTTCGTTACCTTTAAAATATTCAAAAAAACTAAACCGTATGCAGCTTATTTTAAAACAACAAATTTCGCTAAGCAATGAGAAAATTCCATTTTTAAAATGTCTGAGTTTAAAATACAATAAAAAATGAACATTTTAATTTATTTTGAATATCGTATTTCTAGAGCTTAAGGTTCTACATCCGCAATTCGGTATGCAGACACACAGATAGATGCACCCACGCACATTATTTTCTTATATTTACAGATTTGTTGCCTTTCTCTGTGACTTTACATTATTAGATTAAGCAAAACACATTTTTGTTGTTCATCCCTTAAAAACACAGACTTACAGTATTCAGTATCACCTTGCATAATACAGTTGCTCGAGGCCACTCATGACATTTAAATTGTTTCACAATTAAGCTACTTTCTCCTATAATTATACCTTCGAATTTTTGAAGCCCCTGGATGATATACAATAAATATTCAGATTTATGCGACCAGGTTGGATAAAACCGGTACTGTATGTTGTTTTTCGCGTTTAAAAAGTTAATTTGAATACATTGAATAATATTTATTTTTGGAATTAAATGATTAAATTATCAATCAAAGTGCTAAGAGTTCAATAAAGATCGTAAGTAATTTATTTCACGGAGTTGTTTAGGAAATAAAAAGAAAACTAGAGGATTCAGTTACATGCAACTTTTCCCTGCATTCCTTTTATAATTTCAGTTGTGTTCACATTTATTTATCAATTTCATTTTTATTATCTTCATTATATGATAGTTGTTACGGTTGTTAGCTGATTCGTATACTGTTATATCGACCAAAATGTCCCCTGTGGTAAGCAATTGAGCATATGGGATCATAGTAGTTAATTTAATATTGATCATAATTTCTGCATATAGCGCAAATGAATTTTGTTTCATGCAAAAAATCATCCACTAAGTTTTTCGATTAAGTTGACTCAGGAATTACTTTGCGTTCTATGTTTGGTACAAAACTAAAAAGCGGGACACGAAAAAGCCAATTTCCATTATATGTCACTTCTGTTTAACATCCTATGAGAAATATAATTTCTAATTTCTAATCGATTTAATATTTTGATAAGTACAAATTTTATTTGGAATACGTACAAAGTCTTAAAAAATATATTCTAGATCTAATGCCCTGTTTGATTTAACAAGCTGGATTTTACTTAAATACCATTAAACATTGCAGTGGGTAGCTCAGTAAGGATAATGTTTATTTAACAAGGTATAAAGACAACAAATATGTTTATTTAACAAGGTATAAAGACACCAAAATGCTTTTCTTAAGACTTAATAATGAAATACTGAGTCATGGTGTTACGTAATTCTGCCCTTACTATTTAATTGAAGTATCCTTGTAAAAATAAAAAGGTGAAAAACTATGCCCTTTTCATAACTCCAAAATAAAGTCAAACAAATCTCTCAAACCTCTAGTCAACAATCATTGGAGTTAATAAAACAATAAAGAGAGTAAAACCATTAAAAGTTAGTTTATTTGTCTGGTGGGGCTGCAGTGTATTCCCATTTCGCTTGGAGCCGCTTTTTTCTTAAGTTAACTGGTTTAGATTATTTTTATCCCTCTTTTCTGCTTAGTAACAAAATATAGATTAATCAGTTTTAAATCATTTTTGTTCCTTCTCACAAAGAGATGATAAAAACTTGAAGTTTTAACGCTCAAAAATATAGTATTCTTTTTCACTATGAATTTCAATATATTTTATTTAAAGTTTTATGCGTCAATTTAAGTGTCAAAAAATATATAATTTTTTTATTTGATACATGTTTTCATTGATCAAAGCATTCCATAAAATTTCAAAACATCATTGCATTGTTCAAAACTATTCCGGCGATTGATTTGATAATCATTTTATTTTTACAATCAAATTGATGGAAATTCTCAGTACTTACAACTTGGTTTATCATTTTCTACTTCCCAAATTAGTAAACAAACTACTAGACTCAGAATAGTATGCTTCAGATGAATGTTCTGGTTGACTATTAGCAGAATAGTATGCTTCAGATGAATGTTCTGGTTGACTATTAGCAAAATAGTAAGCTTCAGAAGAATGTTCTGGTTGACTATTAGCAGAATAGTATGCTTCAGAAGAATGTTCTGGTTGAATATTGGCAGAATAGTAAGCTTCAGAGGAATGTTCTGGTTGACTATTAGCAGAATAATATGCATCAGAAGAATGCTCTGTTTGTGTGTCAGTCGAATGGTAAGTTTGGGAATATGTTTGAGTAATTGCTGGATTATATGTCCTAGGTTTTGTTTGAGTAGTTGCTGAATCATAGACTTGGGATTCTGTTTGAGTAGTTGATGACTCAGAGGTCATAAGCTCCGATTGAGTAGTTGCTGAAACATAGGCTTGAGATTCTGTTTGAGTACCCGATGATTCATAGGATTCTTCGAACACCAATGCAGATTCTTGAAAATCCTTCATTAACTCATCCCTTTCCGGAGAGGTTTTAATCAAATAATTTCTTACATATCTAATGAATCTACAAAAGGTATCTCTAATATATCTAAGAGTATGTCTAAAAAGATGATAGAATCTTTCCACATAATAGCGGATGGAATTTATGAATAGAACCATCATACAGAAAAGTTCTTGACCAACCAATTACAATTTTATAAACAAATATGCATACCGTAAATAAAAAACATTTTGTGATTTAGTAATAAAACTGCAATAATATTCCCCATTATTAAGAAAAACAACACATGTAGTTATTATTAGTAATAGCAGCTGCTCAATAATTAATCTTTATGCTCAACAATTGATGTATTATTGTTGAATGATTTGACATAAAATACTAGTTTCCAAATAAATATTCTACTCTTAAATGAGCTAAAGTACGTAAATAAAAGGTTTCTTATTAAAATGATGGTCAAACTAAAGTTCCAAACCTTGACATGTATATAAAACAATTGATAAAAAATATTTAGCTCATTTTAAAATTTAACCATTTCAGTTTTTGATATTTAATAAAGCCTAATTATTAACAAATAAGAGAACACAACAGAAAATTTTTCAAAAAAAGTATTGTTCCTTCTATATTTAATTGCTTATTTATTTAACTAGATAGTAAATGAACATTTTACAACATCGTACTAAAAGTTGTAACTCATATTTATCATAGAGCATGAATTTACAACTAAACTCAAACAAGCAAATTAATCTCGAGCATTATGTTTAGTAACTTCATGCATGAACATAAATACGTATTTGCTCAAACTTTACTGTGAAGTATCAATAAGACGGATGATAAAAATATCAATTAGGACTCTATTATATAAATTATTTTTTTTAAAAAAAGAGGAAGAAAGAAAAGCTCTGAAGAACAGTGTAAAAAAGGGTTTCTCAAAACTGAGCAAAAATGTGTTAGACTATTATTTGTTTCAGAGCTATATGCTCCGAAACAAATAATAGTCTATTTACTCCATGTATTCAGAATAATAGTCTAATACTTTATGTATTCAACATTGAAATTGCCTATACTTTCTTCTAAGGGAGAAATGCGTCAGAGAGAGTTGTTCGTTGGCTGTTGACAAGATTGAACAAAAGATCACCAGATTTGTAGTAAAATGCTCCAACCACCACAGTTATACAATGAGTTAGAAATATTTATATATTCCACTCGCTTAAAAGTTTTAGGATATAGCAAATTAAGCAAAAAGTGAAATTAAAATTACCGATCTCCTGACTAAGATGTTGGGATCAAATTTTCCGATTTGCAACTCTTTGTGCCATTGAAATTAGAAATGAATGTGTCATGATGTGTCAGTATATCAGCCGCTGTACAAAACTTCCTAATTCTACCTGGACTTGTATAAACAATTATTGCCAGTTAGAGCTTCCTACTATGAACCCGGAGGGCTTTGGTTCGAATTTTGCCGGCAAACAACGAAAATCTCTGTCACAAATTTCTCCTTCTTCATTACTTTTGAGACAACGTATTTTGCTCAAAAATGACTACATGCTGTTTCAATTTTGAATGCACGGGTTTTTTAAAATTCGACTGCCATTTGTTTTTAAGCTATTTCAACATACTCTAGCTCAATTTTGAGAAACTGTATTTACAGTTAGTATTTTCCATAAATTTACTTTCAAGATAGATTAACGCAGAGCCCGAGATAGTCTGGGTGATAGAGAGTTGGGCCCGTGTTCGAGAGGTCGTGAGTTCGATTCTGGCCTGCCGGAGACTCCCCGTGTACAAAATGGTGGCTAGTGCACGCTAAATCTGTTGGGCACTCAAAGTGTTTCATATTCCCATAACTAATCAATTTCTCTGGGAGTACTGGATCGGAGATTGATCATGCTCTGGTTCAGGTCAGAACTACGATCTGATACGGATGGATGGTGTGTAAATGTGCCCTACTGTAAAACTGGATTCTCCCTGTAAAATTTTGGTTATAAATCATCTTTCGGCAGAACCCTGACTTTATAAATGAAATTTATAAATATATAATTAGAAGTATGAAGATTTGTCATGGTTTTATCATTCATAATTTTAAATAAGGTTTCATTTCCGACACGTTAAATTTGCTGTCCTTGTTCTACATCCAGTCTAGTTATGAATTTGTTTTTGGTGTAAATACATTAATGAACTAAATAAGCTGAATTACGGTTTACTTAGAGAGGAAAAATGCTATTGAAAATGATTAGTAGAGAAACACATTTCTTTGTTGAGGAATTATTTTACTTTTATTTTAAATGGGCCATGGAGATACTAATGTAATATTGTATAAGTGCTTATTCTTCTCATAAATTGCTCAATCTGTTGCTATTTGATACATTTTCTTTTAAAAATACTATTTCCTTTTCTCTAGCGCTTTACTTGAAATAATTTCATAAAGGCAACCGTAAGATTAGATAATTTACGAAACATAGGTCGTATCTAAATATAATCAGAGGTTAAAAAATTCATCACTTGTTATAAAAAGTACTAACTCTCAGAACTCCTTCTACTCCTCAACACCATTTTTGAACAGCTGCGATAAAATATTAATAAAAAGAGCGGACATAAATCCAAAACTAGCTTGATAGCTGGTTAAAACTTCAAAGTGTTTTTAATGCTAAATTTCCCCCTCTTTTTGCTTTTCTCGGATAATTGAACGATTTTTATTGTTTTTAATTGCATCCCGATCGGAAATGATTGGGCAAGCTTTTATTACCCTTTTTCCTTGCTTGAATATTACTTTGTTAACCCTAACCATTTGCACCATTTTTAACCATGCTTCTAAGAAAATATGTGTTAAGAATAGGGGTTATGGAACACCCTGTATATATGTTATTAATTTCTTATTCCTTTTTTCTTAATTGTGCCCTACCCTGTTTATGATGACTTAGTCTTGAAATATTAAACAAGACTAGAATACGTTAATGCCATAAATTTAAAATTGAAGCTAAAATTCTATACGAGTTCACAATTGCAGGATAAATACAAAATAAAGAACTATTATCATTCATCTATTTTTCTCAGTTTTCAGATAAAACCTTTGAAAAAAATCCTAATCTAAGTTTTAAAAATAAAAAAAGCAATATTTCCCCCCAAGCAATAAAGAAACAAAGAAACGAAAAGAGGTGAAAACAAACTTTCGCTTTATTTCACTCTTAACTTTTTCTCCAGTGGCTCACTAATCGGAAATATCTGTTTTTATCTACCACTTTATCTGAAAAAAGTTAAGAACAAAAGTTAAAAGACCATAGAGAAAGTTCAGTTAAAAGCAAACAAAAATGTAGAACTATTCGTTTGGGTAGGAAATAGCTCTATTTACCCTCGCCCCCTTTCCGAATTTCTGTCCTAAGTAAGGAAGTATAGACTCCACTTTTACGTTTCGATTCCAGAAAATTGCGAAACTTCATTTGCTAAGCGTGAAATGTTGGAAGCCATTTTTGCGAAGTTAGAGCCCAGCTTTCTTTCTTTTCTCCTGCGGGATTTAATTAAATTCCCGAATTTCCTTGCTCGAGCGGATTGTGTTTGGGACAAATGTTTTATTATCTTTGGCTACTCTGGAAGTGGGCTATCTTGTTTCGTTCTCTGTTAATGTCTGAATCTCTCGCAGTCGTTTTGTTAAATGCTTTAATTTATAACGAATTTAACTCTGGAAATATTATATTAATAATGGGAAACAACAGATGGTTTGGAGTTATTTGTTTCATTTAGGGTAATGTTTAAATGGGTCTGGGTAAAATATAACCTAATCCTAGAGATCTCTGTCTCATTAAATTGTGGGGAATTTGTTTTCTAGTATAAATTAAACAAGTTAATTTATTTACACACGCAATTCTAGGGTCAATATTAGGGGTAATATTATTTATAGGGGTAATATTATTTATAGGAATGTTATTATAAGATTTTCAGTCTCGCCTCTCCTAAATAGGGGACGGGGAGATATGCTTACCTGTCACCATGACATGCCTCTTAGGAGAAGTGTTTCAGGTCCCTACTGGTAATGTCCGGTCTAGAGCCTGCTGCGGCATTTATTAAAAACCAAAGTTTACAAGTTCATTGGCTATTGTCTCATATTCAAACACGTATGGTTTCCAATTATTACATTACTTGTTTACATAGTCTTGAAACATTCTGGTGGTTGGAATTGGCTCCGTTAGGTTACATTATATTCAGGGTTCACAGTAATAATTAATATTCATTAATTAAGCATTAAATACAATAGTTATCAACTGTAATATGCATAATAGTTCATATTATAATAGTTTAGACATTATAATCCCACCTTCAAATAATATAATTAATAGATAGATTAGAAATCGGATGCAATATTACACTTGTGTGCAATATTGACAATGGCAATAAATCTGATGGCAATTATCCAGTCACCTAAACGTGAAGTTTACATTGAGGAAGTAAAATAGGAAACGACAAATCATTTTTCCTGAAAGAAGAATAAAGAAAGTTAAAATTGCATAATGAGTTAAAAGGTAGGTTATCAATAAAATCACGTGAGAAGCCAGAGAGTAAAATCTAGGTTAAAATTAATAAAATGATACAGACCACTGAAATTCGAAGCTAAAAATATAGCGAGGAGTAAAACCACAATTGAACTACGTGAGATGATAAAATAAATGCATTACAATTAATAAGTCCGGGAGTAAAGTCATTTAACCATAAAGTAAAACCAGTTAAAAGTTCTCAGTAAAAGTCAAGCGTGATTCTCCATCCGGTCAAAATTATTCTAAAAGGAGTTGAATTAAAAGCACAAAAGGACTTTCAAATGAATAGTTTTACAAACGGCTGCAGGATACTACGGAAAGACTAGATTAAATGGATTGGATGGACTCAGCCCTTCAGAGAAGCGCACATCTTGAAGTCTTTGCTTAATGATTATAACGATTCTCACACATGTCACTACCACATACGTGTTCCTTGTCGTATTTTTCCCTGTGTGTGCAACGGTACGTTTGGTATTGGAAATGCAAACCCGATCCCACGGGATCGAGTTCAGTTAGGATCCCGCACCGATGTTTGCGGTACTAGTCCCACGAGATTAAATCTCAGTCCCACAGAATCAAAACTTAAAAATTTGAAGAATTTTTCAGTTTTGAAATGCTTTTTAATGTCTTTTACTGAT